GCAGACTCCTGATAAAGATCAGACTTGGGGACGTACAGGAAACAACACCTTTTTTTTTCTCTCTTTCTGTTCTCATCATTAGCGGACTGCAGAACTTTTGATAGTTAGTTCATTTCTGCATACCTAAAGGGATCGCAGCAATAAACGGGGAAAGGGAGCCTTGAAGTGTAATTCCTGACTTGACCTGGTTGGAAGAGCCTTCACTGAGATAGCACAATGTCAGGTAATTATCTTTCAACGTTAATCCACAATTTAGACTATTTAAAGTGTCATGTTTTACAGAGTTCTTGGAAATTTACTTGGGTTATAAAGTGTAATGTTCAAAGCTGCACGCATTGTCACAGAGATCTAAAACCAAATGCTGTGACTGAAACTACGTCAAAGTTACTTCATGATTTCTAATTTCATGTTAAATCTGTAGATCTTATTTTTACTGTTGCTTTTTTAATAGTAGTTAAAAACAACACAACACTGCCACAATGCCTTAATACAACTTTTACAAGTGCTGTTATCTCCATCCATGTATCTGTTACTTTCAGAATAATAATGGTAATATTGTAAAATCATGGTAATAGTGTTAAAACCTTTCATCACATCCAAAACAATGCTTACATTGAAAATTACAATAACACAGATAAACAAACCCAATGAAATAGTCGGTCATAGGTTTATTATGGAATACCATCCTCGTTTAACATTTTTAATCCCAACAAAACCAGTTATCAGATTTGTTACAATAATGGTGCAGGTTTAAATCATAGACAGTGTGAAGAAGATTTAAATCCTATTTTTATTTTTTTAAAAGAAGCATTTTATGGATTAACGATGTTCCCAAGGAGGGAGTACCAATGAGCACCAATAGGTGGCAAAATTACCCCCACTGTCAACTGCCTGGGGGGCCAAACCAGCAGACGTGAATGGATTATTTGTGGTGCTCATAGCAAAGGAAAACCTCCTTTAAAACAGAAACATGTCATCAGCAATAGGTTGGCAATTCAACTGGCACTTGATAAGGGTTGAAACGGCATTACGAAACCAAACCTAACACTTTGATGCAATGAGCATTCAAAAATAAATCCAGTTAACCTCCAACGGCAGCATGTGTTTACAGCAATAAAGAAGTCTTTGTGTAGCTTTTTAGACATACTGTTTTGCATCTTATTTGTCGTAGCCTGTGCTGAAATTAATAGAAATAATAATGTTAATAACAAATCTTTCTCTCTCTTTCTGCAGAAGAAAACACCACATTCTATGATTATTCAGATTACTTAGAGCTTGCTAACGACACAGACCATTCCCCTGCCAACCTAAGTGATGTAAAGGACTTTAACAAAGTGTTTCTCACCACTCTCTACAGTTTGGTTTTCATCATGGGCTTCATAGGTAGGTGTGTCCTCTTGTGTGTATGCTGTGGAGATTATGAGTTTCTACACATTGCACAGACCTCCTTTTCTGGGAATTTCCAACTTGCTGACTTTTAACTATGTATGTAGGTGTATGTATGTGAGACACAGATGAAACGGGAAAGAGAGAATGTTGTTCAACATGTAACAGTGTGACAAGTACACTTATTGTGTAACTTCTCCCAAAGGTAACGGGCTAGTGGTGTGTGTCCTGGTGAAGCACCGGTATCAGAGCAACCTGACAGACATCTGCCTCTTCAACCTGGCTCTCTCTGACCTCCTCTTCGTCTTCACGCTGCCTTTCTACTCTCACTATGCCAGGGTCGGCCAGTGGACCTTTGGAGACTTCATGTGCCATTTGATCTCCGGCTCTCACCACACTGGCTTCTTCAGCAGCATCTTCTTCATGGTTGTCATGACGCTGGACCGCTACATGATCATCGTGCACACTCACAGGGTTGCACGTTATCGCACAAAGAGGGCTTCCATCATTCTGACCGTGCTCGTTTGGATGCTGAGCTTGTTTGTGTCTCTGCCAGATTTTATCTTCAGAAAGGCAATAGGACAGGAATCCCAAGGGGTGGAGTGTGACTACCCCGAAGAGAGCAACGTCTGGGAGCGTTACAGCCTGTTCACCATAAATGTGCTGGGTCTCATCATTCCCTTGTTGGTGATGGTAGGTTGCTACTCCAGAATCATTCCCACGCTGGTGAGCATGAGGACCGCAAAGAAGCACCGCATCGTCAAGCTGATCATCTGCATAATGCTTGCATTTTTCTTACTATGGGCTCCATATAACATTTCCCTTTTCCTGGAGTTTCTTCAGAAAAGAGGAATAATCCACAATGATAAAACCTGGTACAAAAATATAAGTCTGTCAAAAACAGTGACCGAGGCATTAGCTTACACTCACTGCTGTCTGAATCCCATCATATATGCTTTTGTGGGAGAGAAGTTTATGAGACGAGCCTTGCAGCTGCTGAAAAAGTTTGTGCCTTTTTATGGAAGATATTTGTCAGACAGCTCATTCAGGAGAAGCTCAGTTATGTCCAGGGGCTCTGAAGTCACCTCTGCTTCTTTGAAACTATAGAAGGTGGAGGGCAGTTGTAATTGTTTTTGTCATGAATGTTTTAGTGTTCAGTTTCAGTGTTTTTCCTGTTAGTTTTGTTTGTTTGTCACTTTGCCACATACCACCAGTGTTTTTCACCAGTGTCTCTCCTTTAAAGTTTGTCTGTACACCTCTAGATACTGCTAATGTTGTTATGACCATAAGATTTCAGATGTGTTATAAATGACTGTGAAAAGGCGTTTATTCAAATGTATGGCATTCTGAAGTTGGGAATTTGATGTTAAAGAAACTTTCCAGTGTTGATTTTTTTCTCACTTTTTAAATATATATATAATATACAGTGGTCTGACCTACTTTTACTACCTTTTACTTTCACATTGTAAATAAATTCTTTTCTTTTGCCTCAATAACTTTGACTCCCATTTCAGTTAGGTTTTTGTTTTTGCTCTTTTTTTATTCTGCCTGCATACTGTACTGTTTTCCAGGTATTGATCTTATGCACACTTATGTTTTGTATGACACTTGTACCTGTACTTGGACTGTTCATGAATCAAAGCTGGCATCCACTCAGCTCTTGTCCTCATTTTGTATCAGAATTTTCTTAATTCAAAACATTTTACTGCAGATCTTGAATTTACTCAAAATAAAAATCACATTGGGTTCTTAACTGTGACATCGGGGAAGTACACTTAAGAGCAGCTTGAAGTGGTCACATTCATTCTATATGCTTTTATCTCAAGTTAAGCAAATTTCACTTCCTACAATATTTAACTGATAAAATGAAAATTCTGCATCCACTCATGAATTGTGAAATGATCAAATTCATTTGTCCCAGATTAATTTATTAGACAAGTAATTGTTCACTATCATGAAAGCTTTGTAGTTACTGATGAGCTTCTATTAACACAGAATCAAATTATTTTCATTTGAATACATTTTCCCTTTCCTATTTAAATCTAATGATCACGCACGAAGGGACAATTGTTGAAAACGTACACCAACAACTTTGTGTGAGAGAAATGAAGTTGCAGGGAAGCACAAGTACACATATTTGCATAAACTTACCTTATACTTTTAGCTTATCCTACCTTATACATTTCACTTCAGAAAGAGAAAGACTTTTTAATTTTTTTATCCCATGCATTGACACAACACTGCAAGAGATAAACAGGTAACATAAGGCTCCGCAGGCTAGGCCCACTATGCTACCCAAGCCTGCCCTGGAAAATGAGCAAGAGACACATAGCTGAAGCCTTACTGGCTAGGACATCACATCATGTGTTGAGGAACCAGGACACACTGATGAGAAGTAGGCTACTGAAGTATCAAGGCATAAGTGGACAAGCACTGAGAATAGATGTTTGAATGCTACTACACCCAATATATAGAGTAATGGCAAAACATCTGACAGCTATGTGTTTAAACATCCTTAATTGGCAACTGCTATCACAACTAGAGATTGATGAGTTACAACACAAATGATACGGCAAGGGGTGCTAGCATGTCAGGTCAGGAGGGAGATATCATCACCCCACCCTCAAAGATTGGCCACCGAGCCCCAAGAACAATTAGTGCATTAAAGGCATTTAATATAAGAGCAGCTTACATGAGAGACAGGCTCATAGCTAAGGTGGAAACCTGGACACTTCATGGTCGATTACCAAGATTACATTAAGTACACCTGAAAGTCTGCTAAAAGAGATGTGAATGTAGCATTTTGGACAATCCCTACTGCGACCATCACTGAAAACAAGCAGCTGAACGACACAATGGCAACAATGATCCTTGAGATGTTGGCTACAAGATGAACAGCCACATAGAGCAGTGCTCTTTATGAAAAAGGAGATTGGAGGTAAAGATCAAGGCAGCACGGAGGGAGGTTAGCCAATTCTAAGAGTGGCTTATACGTGTGGCAGAAAGATGCAATAAAGAAAGGGATGTACTAAGAAGTGCAACTAGCTGCCAATAGCTTAGGCCCTAGGAGCTCCCAAGCAAGACTCAAAGCATTGGCTAGCTGCTTGAAGAGGTACCAGAGAGACAGAAGCCAGTAGAAAACCCAGATGTTCTCCACTGAACCATCAAAGATGCAATCCCAGTGGCACTTCACTCCATAAATGTTTGGCAGTGCAAATGAATGAGCTGTTAATGGATGAGAGCTAGCCAGAACGGCTAACGGCTATATTAACTCGAAAAACTGATGTACTATTAGCTTTCAGTGTAAACTAGACATTCATGAATAAATAACAAAAACATATAGGCTGTGTTCAGAAATCAAAGCTGGAAGGCTGCTGCACCTGTCCCTTTAAACAAGAGGTTTGTAAGTAGCACAGAAGGACCCAACTGGAGTAACTTGTTCTGTACACAACATGACAAGTGACAAACACACTCTTTAGCTTCTGACTTTCTCTCTGAGATGCAACCTTACTTTTAAATGCATACATTTTTTCAGCGCAGTCTCATTTTCACAGTTCTGTTGCTAATCTTGACAATCTGTCTATTTTGCATTGGCCAATTTGTGAAAAACACACAAAATATTGAGAGGAGGAGGGATTTTGTATTTTTTATGGGTCAGAGTAATTTTTCATGTTGTTTTTGTTTTTGAGTTAAAATCTCAAAAAAAAAAAAAATTTGATTATAGAAATGCACTCATTAACAAGCTGAAGGTAATAGCTTTCTTTGAATCAGTTTTTCACTGTGATGCTAAAACCATGTGTTAGTTAGGTAAAAGTGCTTATCAAGAGGTCAGCTTAGGTGACAACCAGGCCCCTGAGAATGAGAAATGGTTTTACAGTTATGTATTTTTGTTTCTTTGTTGGATAAGCAGCTTGTATTAAGCCATATAGCAATAGCTGGCCCACGAAGCAGGGCTTCAATGTGTTGTCTGCAAAAACTGATCACTCAAAGATTATATCTCTGACAATCCGGTATGCACATTTGTCATAAATGAGTTGTGTGACTAATGCACAGGTTTGCTAGATAAAGACTAGCAAGCTTAAAAAATAGGCTGCCTTTCCTTATCTGGATGATCTAGTATGCATCAAGATTTTTACACTGACTTGCTCACTGTCGCTCAGGTTATCATGCATAAAAACAGTTTGTCTTTTAAAAGATACTTTTGGCCTTTTTGAAATTATATCAATGATACATCAGTACAAAATGCAGTCATGGTGGAGTGTGCCGACTGTTCTCATTTGTTTTTGTGATTTTTAATAAAGGTTACATTATTAAAGCACTTGTATTTAAACGAGGCAGTGTTTATTTCTAAACTTGTTTATGTCTCTATCTGAAAAAAATATAGAATAAAATAAAGCCTTTTTTGTTTTTACATAACCAGGAACAACCAGCCCCATACTGTGTGACAAACAGCCCCATGATGGAATTGGTTGTCACAAAGTGTTAGAGTGTGGTAATTACTTTTTGTTACAGTTAATTGCAAACATGATAAGCAGACCCATTTTGAGCCAGCCCGAACCTTAAATTTCAACTTAATGAAGGAATTGGTATTTAAGGATATTTCAACGATCAACCATTTCAGCAGTACTAAAAAGTGGGCCAACAGATGTTGGTCTATGCCAGACCTTCCCAAAGTGTGGGGCCCGGGGGCGCGGTATGAAAAGGGGAGGGGGGAAACAAAACGCTTGGACACTGCTAGCATGGGGCGGCCACAGAAACGCAAAGCAGGAAATGAAGCATCGCTGAATATGTTTCCAAACCAACTTCATTCTAAGCCAAAGACTAGAAAATATGGTGAAGCATATTTGCCCTTTGGTTTCACCTGCACAAGTGCCGAGGTAGGTCTCCCCTGCAAAATTGGTTTTCACTGGGCTCTTCAAATCACGGACAAACAGCATCCCACATTCTTGATTTTTAGTTCAAACACTTGTTGTAATGACTAACTACTCCTGACATTTTGGAGATGTTAGCTGTTTATACAGTAAAGTTACTGTGGGATACAAATAATATCAGGCTGATCCTGTCACGATTTGTTCCCCCGGTTCAAATCACGGACTAACAGTATCCCACAGCTGTTTATGTTTTTAAACCCATTTTGCACAGAGAGGCATTTTTTGAAAATGAATTGATAGCAATGTTGAATATTATAGCACATGAAAAAAACAACAACAACTACACATAAAATAATCACACCGTGATGCCTCTGCCTTTCTAAATGGAGGGACAGTAACTGCGTGTGTATGTAAGCCTGTAAAAACCGAAGACAGTCAGATTAACAGTATTTTGTCTCTATCTGCCATTCTGCAATTCACCTCTTGTAAACAATAACGTGGCGCACAGCGTGACGTGGAAGGCACATACCTTTGACGTTGTGTGACAAACTCTGTATTCCTCATAAACGCAAAAAAGGAGTTTTAAAAAATCTCAATTTTCGGTGATTCGAAACGCCGTTTACGTGTGAACGAAACAGCTGCGTTGTCAAAAATACTCGTGTAGGTGTGGAGATAGCATAAAAGAGTTAGTAGTTTATTTTATTACTACCTGTAATTTATTGCAGGTTACTTGTATTTGCTTAATTGTTTACTAAATGTTTGAGGTGTGAAATAAACCGCAATGGAGCAAAATATGGGTGTGTGGTTGGAAAGGATATGTTTGCGCGTGTATGTGCATTTGCTGGTTGGGGGGTTGTTTTTTGCAAGTTTTTCTTGTAAAACAAAGGGGGGCCTGGCAAAAAAAAGTTTGGGAACCACTGGTCTATGCTGTAAGTAAAGGCAAACAGTAGGAGAGAAGGAGACATAAACTGCTAAGAAAACAAGTTGAAGGAGATAATATGTACTGAAACAGCAAAGATTGACACGAAAACACAGAAACACACTCAGTACTTGTGTTTGTTATAGAAATACTATAAATGGGCCTTTCTACATTCCAAGGTTGTCCCTCAGAATTATGTTTTCCCACATAGGTCTAAATGTGTGCATGTGATAATTATAGCTTGATAGCTACAATTAGCTCCACTAGACACCAACATCATGTCCTGTTTGTGAAGTAATTATCTGGGGTAGTTCACTGGGTTTTCAGTTCTTGTGGTTATTTTTGGTTGTATTATGAAATATTTTCATGGCTATAGTTGCTTGCAGAGATGCCCTTCTTTATATTTTACCAGAGGTGCTATGTTTTTGTTTAACACACCAGTCTCCAATTTTAAAAAAAGCACTAACATTACCTCAGAGGACTGGTTACTTTGTGACTTCATGCATTCACCCCTCACATGTCTGTTTTCCAGTTTTTCCATTTTGTTCTGTGTCGTTTGGTGGTTTTGACCAAAAGAGGAGAGTTCCTCCTCTTTTGGAGTTAGTTCCTCTTCACAAAGAGCTGCACAGCAGATTAGGGCGACCGTGGCTCAGGGGGTTGGGAAGTGAATCTGTAACCGGAAGGTTCGATCCCTGGGCTCTCTGTACTGGTCGTTGTGTCCTTGG